TTCTCCACCATAAGCTGATGTCTAGACAACATATGAATGTCATGCTCGCCAAATTTTAGTAAATCCCTTTGATCAACAATCCGCATCTCATCCCTTTTTGTCTTAATTACCACAGTTGTTGTCGCCTCATTATATACCCAATATAATAAATCATTTAGAGAACCATCAGGTATAGGATGAGAGAGAGGAATCTTTTTTTTTCTTTGTAGGAGGTCACATAACGTTTACCATGGTTTTGTTGGTGCGTAGATCGATGACACCCTTGACCTTTCTAACGAATGAGCACGCTGGCGACTCGCCTGTAAAGTTATGCTTTGATTTGTCTTCTAGAAAGTTTTTAAACGCCCATGCCTTGGGATCATTTGTAGGATTGTGAAAGGGAGCAATTACTAGATCTGCAAGATCAACCATAGTCCAAGACAAAAAATCAACCTTTTTGTCATAGTATTCAATATTTCCGTTCCTCCGTTTCACAATGTCACACCCCAAAACCGGAACGACGGAAACGTTCTGGGGTGGAGGACGTCATGTTTAGTATCACAAGTCATGCATCATAGTAAGCAAAGTAATGAACAACCATTTCATTAGAAAGAAGGTGTTTACAAATTTTGTTCACAAAACATAGAATACATAAGAAAATAACAATCAATACATGAAGCTATATTGCTCCATCTTCTAAGTTCCCAACACGAGTACCTGTCTACTAGGCTCCTGAGAATACAAGTTATTTGAAAGAGTTGATCAGCAATTAAGCTGGTGAGTTCATAAGATTTTAGTGATGTAAATAAATTATAAATTATGATTAGAAAAGTTCGCCAGTTCCTCTTAGAAAATCCTATATTTTCTACTTTGGTGAAAGATACGTAAAAATTATTCTACAATCCTTTCTACGAGTACTAAATGGATACAAGTGATATAAAAACTCAGAGTAAACAAACAATCGACTGTGCGCATCTGCCCTAACTCACAACCAAACAAGGCATAGGAAGTAAGGCGGATAGCACGCATCCCATTGTTTGTTAGATCATTGTTATATATAACTTTGGCGTGTTCACTTGTTACTCGTGGAGTTAATTGTAATGGTCCCCTTATATTTAATGAAAATATTCTTTAAGGAAAGCTCTTACTTCTTATAATAAAATGGTGACCACAGTGATTTCTTCTATAATCACTTAGTTTATACTGGCTATATAGGATCTGATATCGGATAGAGAGTTAATTGGGTGAATCTGCCCTAAGCCCACAACCAAACAAAGAACAGGAAGTAAGGCGAAAAGCACACATCCAACTATCTATTGGATATTAATGATATATAACCGTGATGTATAAACTAAAGTATTATAGATTTAATCACGTAGAGTCCTTTAAGTTTCTACCGGTTTAATAAAATGGATTAAACCCTTAACTGGTAAGTTTCTAGTTTTGCATACCCAAAGTTCTGATTTGGAAAATATGATCTGAACTAGAAAACTGTGCATTGACTCGGTGTCCTATGACTTGACCCATACCTGGTACCCTTATGATGACTCAATGTATACTGGACATATATATCTAGAATCGGATAGATAGTAGACTGGGTGAATCTGTTCCAAGCCCACAACCAAACAAGGAACAAGAAATGAAGCGGAAAGCACACATCCTATTACCTGTCGGATCCCATTGATATATATGTATCCTTTGATGTATTCATTAAGGAATCATAAGGTTAGCATTATGGTCCTTTCTACTAAACGTAGCCTTCTACCAAGGCATCAAATGTTATGGGTGTTCGTTCCTTGTATTAGTAGGTATTTTCCCAAGTGAGACTATCTTTAACTAAATATAGTTTATACATTAATGAATATGTGAGACGTTCACAAAGTAAATGTAATAGGGAAAATAATGTTTTACCTCAGCAGTGACGCTGCTGGCTATAAAGTAATAAAATACAGACTCCAGGTAGTATTAAATGGACAATACGCCTCGGGGAGTCTTAAGGTAATAACAACAAGGCTCCAGGTAGTATTAAGTGTACAATACACCTCGGGGAGTCTAAAGTAGTCTTTAGTCCTAAGTCGGCTAATTAAAGGTTTAAATGTGAACCCGTATGTAACTAGGAAGATATATTATGATATTCTATCACCTCGTGTCTGCTAGTCCTGGCACGTGAAATTTTACCAGTGTCAATGCAAACTCGGCAAGATATATTACTAGGTTTATCACCTCGTGCCTGCTAGTCCTGGTACGTGAAATCGTACCAGTGTCAATGCAAACCCGACAAGATATATTATTAGGTTTATCACCTCGTGCCTGCTAGTCCTGGTAGGTGAAATCGTACCAGTGTCAATGCAAACTCGGCAAGATATATTAATGTGATTTTTTTCCCGGTACTTAGTATGGTGTATTCCTCCCTGTTTCTCTTTATAGTGGGTTCTCTTTATATTATCATGTATTGTATCTAGCATGAACTGAATTTCTAAACTATACCTATTATAGTTTACTAATGCTGTCCTTGAACTGATATTGAAAAGACTCTTTTATCTACCAAGTTATGCCAGTACTTTAAAAGAGTTTTTGAAATGTCTTGACGACTTATAAATGACATAAGTAATCCTTTTGAAATATTTAAAACAAATGATTACACAATTATCATTGTATTCAACTTGTATTCCCCCCCCCCCCTTAAAACATTTAAAACAGTTAAAATATTCATTACGGGGTATGAACTCACCTGATGTGGGTGATTCAAACGAATACGCGCGTAAGGATGAGAAGTTCCACGAATGAAGTCCCGAGACTTAACGAGTCGATCCGGAGGCTTGAGAAAGCTCAAAATCACCAAGAACAAGTGTGTGCTCTTGGTGTTCTTGGTGGAATGGATGAAGATTTGAAGATATTCTTGAAGATCTAGGCTGAAAATCGGATGGTAGTTGAGAGCAAAATCGAGTTCTAGGCTTGGGAGGGTGAAAAGAGATGAAAGAAGGTTAAGTCCCTCCTATATACACGAGAGTGTGCTGCCAGGAGAGGGGTTAGTGGCCGCACACCCAGTGTGCGGCCGTACACTCCTGATGTTAGAGTGTAAGGCCCGGTTTTGATGCTAGAAGTGTACGCGATCCATTTCTATGTTCAAAGATTGAATGTACTGACCTTTGGACCTTTAAACGAACTCCAAATGAGGCTAAATGATAGCAGGAATGAGTTTGACACTCAGTCGACTTGACTGGCTGAACTTTGCAAAGCAAAAATTTAAAATTTTTCGGGTTGTCACATCATCCCCCCGTTAGAGGGAATTTCGTCCCGAAATTAGCTTTCTTAGCCGTACTACTGGGGGTTGTGCTCCTCTGGGTGGCAAAATACTCACTCGTAGACCTGGCAACTTTTCCCTGCTGTTCATGATAGGATTCATACTCGATACATCTATCATTACCTCACGTATACAAGTCGTATATGGTTAGGATTAGCTAGAAGGTCGGATGTGTGATTCTGCCCCAGGTCCACAACCAGACAAGGAACAGGAGATAGGGCGGAAACACACATACTAGATCTGTGTAATCAAAATCACATACCACCCTTGCGTATAAACTAAATAATGATAGGTGAGCGGTATTCGTCCTTAGCCTCTGTGCTCGAATTTGGTCTGATGGACGAGTGGTATTTCGGAAAGGTCTGAGGAATATACGGCGGCAAGGCTTCGGAGGACAAAGTACTCTTCGCATGAGTACTTCGGGGTTTAGAATACGAAAGGTAAAACTGAGGTTTAGGTCAGACTGTCGCTACTAATGACGAAAGTTCCGAGAGCTTGACGATCGAGGCGGTAGAAACGTATGAACTTAGTATGGTGAGGACCACGCCATTTCATGACGGATGTTAGCAACGGACTCTTTACTGAACAAAGTTTGGCCGATCAGAAAGAAATGTATGTTATACGATGATGTATCCCTAACGTGCTCGAAAATGTACTCTTAGTGAGCTCGACTATGCACTCTTAGTGCGTTCATAATGTACTTCTAGGGTGTTCGAAAAATGTACTCTTTGTAAATGTTCTAGTGCTTTCTGTTTTCCCTTTTATGTTAACACTCCTACGTATCGTACCGCGATGAGAGATTACATACAAATGAAAGTGTTTTGATATCTGGTGATGATACTTTATATCACGGTCCTCTTCGGTACCACTATGATCGCCCGTCATATACAAGTTATAAATATTTAAGATGAATAAGACGGTCGACTGAGTAACTCTACCTCAAATCCACAAACAAACAAGGAACAGGAATTAAGGCGGAATTACCCACTCTAAGTCTGCAACATCTTAGTTATGCACAACCCTGATGTATATGTTCAGCCATCATAGCTTCTCTAAACGGATCCTTTAGTTCTTTTGAATACTGTGACTTGTTCCTATGAGCGAGTTATTATAATTACTTTTAGGTGTTATCCCCAAGTTTCAATCTTATATAAATATAGATTAATTTTCAAAGCATTTACTAGGTCGAAACGTATCGCTGCTCGAAGGCGACTCCGAGGTCGATTCCCCTGCGGTAATCATCAGAATTCGTCCATTCGCTCCTGAGTTCTTTGTTATCGGGCAGTCCTCTTGGTAGTGTCCAGTCTCACCACAGCCATAGCAGGCTTGGTTTTCTTCAACTCCGGGGACTTGGGAGATCGGTTGAGCCGGTGCCCTGCAGAAACGGACTGTGTGTCCTTTTCTATGGCAGTTCAGACACTGCATTTTCCGTCATACTCTGGTGTGGTGATAGATGCACTTCCCACACTTCGGAAGAGTTCCAGCATATCGATTGGCATGTGCTGGAGTAGCAGGTGTTGTGGCGGTGTACATAGTACTCGTTCGTTCCTCCTGCGGGGTGTCCTGTGTTGTTCGCTTCTTCTTCCCCTTGTTCTCTGACTCCTGTCCATAGTCCTCTTCCCTTGATGGCTCGGGAATCGGGACTTCTACGTCATGATGCACTTTGTGGTCGATGAGTAGCTGGGCCAGGCGTTTGGCACTATCGAATGTGGCTGGTTTAGAAGACAACACATTTCCTTCCCTTTTTAATGGACTCCTGCTTCAAATTTGCGATCTCTTGTTTAAGCTCAAAAATAGTTTGTGCAGAGCCTTCATCAATGCCATGCCCTAAGCAAATATAAATTTCCTTCCCTTTTGATTGAGGAATGGAATCTTGAAAGGCAAGAAGCTTGGCCAACTTAAGAGATACTACATCGTGCTCTGGAGGTAGTGGAGCAGAATAACTTCCTAAAGCAAAAGTTTCCTCATTTGCTACGAAATTAAATTCATCGACAAAATTGAGGCTCTGAACGTCTTGATGAAACTGGGCTGATTCAGCGATTGGACCTTGAACATCTTCTTGAACCTGGGCTGGTTCAATGATTGGGCTTTGACCAACTTCTTGAACCTGGGCTGGTTCAACTATAGAAACAGATTGTTGTACTAGCTCAACAATAAGCACTCCCAGCCTTGGTTCTCTCCATGTTCGCTTCTTTGGCATCAGGGAGGCATTTGATTCATCTCTATCACTCTCAGAAGGAGATTTAACAGTAACATAAATTGCTTGAGAAGGCTTCCTTGCAGTAGACTGTAGTTCTTTGATAAGTGCATCCATCTGTTCTGGCGTTGGAATATTTGGCTGCCTGAAAATATTGATTTCAGTTTCTTTCTCAGCCGAGGTAATCACAGCTTCATTGACTGGCTCCTTCGGTGGAACAAACAAACAAGAACTTCTATCATTAGTATCATCAGAGTCATCCTAGTTGAGCCTTGTGTTCTAAAATAAGGTGTTTTTGAGTGCTTTGGAGTATGCATGGTGTACCTTGGAGAAGAAGGAAATACTGGGAGAAGTGTTGGTTGCATTGGTGCTTGTATATGTAGACTTTGTTCACCTTGATCTATCTTCTAGAGGTATAAAGTTTGAATCTTGAAGATATTTTTTTTAGATCTAACTAGTTTTGGATGTTATGAGCTTTTGGTCATTTTAGTGCATAATGTTTAGATCTTGAAAGTTTGTGACCTTGTTATGTTTAGATGTACTTAATGGATTAAGTTGAAAAAGATGAACTTTTGGGTCCTTTTGAGACTTAAGGACTAGATCTTGTTTGTTGGTGTTGGATTAGGTGTCTAAGTCCATAACTATAGTTGGTACGTACTTGACCCGATAGTAGCATGGTCCTTTTGGTTGCCTATACCATAGCAAATTGACTGGATGAATAATAGAGAAAGAGGTTAATTATGATTTATTAATATATTATAGGAATAATATATTAAAAGACAAATCATATAATTTAATTAATAATGGTCAAGAATTAATTTAGAATTAATTTAGAGGTAAAAAGAGATTAATTAAATTAAGGAGACTGATATTGTAATTATAAGATAATTGTAATATGGGTTATGTAATCCTAAAAGAAGGAGGTGGACGAAATCCATGTGGAAGCCCACATAGAAATCGTCCATACGAAGGGTTCTGGAAGGATCCTATGGGCTGCTTAAGGCTTAAGCAACCAGATTAGGTATTTGACTGAAACCCTAACTGCTCAGCTGTATATAGAGCCCTTGGGACTCCTATTTTCGGCAACCAAAATCCCTATAAGGATCTAAGAGCCAAAAATTAGTATCCCTAGCCTCTCTCTCTAACATTCCTCCATTGCTATTGGTATTTGTGATCGATTAGAGGTATTACACTTGTGATACAAAAGCTCTCAAAGTTTGAAGATCAAGCTACAATTGAAAGGTAACATCGTAACTATGTATTAGATGTAGATTTCGAGTTTTTCTATGCTAAATTATGGTTTATAAGCTTTGGATGATTATTTCATGTACAATTAGAGAAAACTAGGTCAAAAGTTTTAGGGTTTGCATGTGCACCATATGATTGTCGTTATGCTCAAAACCCTTCAGTTAGGACCATTCTAATTGCTAAATTTGGAAACTTTATCCATTATAAAGCTATTATGAACTATAAAAATGTGATCTTGGCCCTTCTCTCCATTCCATGCAAGAGTTATGATGTCTTATTGGGTTAAGAACTAAGGGTTTTAGACATTAAGCACTTTATAGCCAAGCAAAGTCATAAAGTTGGAAACTTTATGACTCAGGACATCATTTTGGGCTTGGATATGAGTTTTGGATGTAAGAACTTAATGGAATAAGCTCTTAATGGAGTTTTGGAACTAGGATAAGTACGCTGGCCATACACGGTGGTCCGTTGCACGTACTCGGTCAGCGCCCCGCTATTGGTCAACATCAGAGTATGTTGGGTGTACTCTTTTAGTACGCATGGCGTACTCTTCTAGGAAGAAATATTGACTTTTGGACCTTGACTGTTGACTTTGAATTTGACCACTGTTGACCAAGTTTGACCTAAGGGTATTTTGGGTTATCTGGTTAATTATTGATTAACATTGTATTTATTGTTAGTTGGCGCGAGGTTATATAGTTTGGCGGTCCAAGCAGTTATATGATTATCAGCGGATGGAGGTGAGTTTTCCTCAGTGTACTTACGGGTCGTAGGCACCAAGGTCGGCCCATTGGATTGATATCCTACTATTCACAGATATGTTGAGTATGGCATAAATGTGTATGATTATGCTAGTTGTCGATATGTTAGTCTAGTAAATCTGTAGGATTAGCTATGATCCTGTCTGCCTGATTATCTGTTTACGTTTGTTACCTGTTGTTGTCACACCCCCGGACCAGGAGGCGGAAACATCCGGAGGTGGGTAACTACATTGTGTAGTACCATAACAGTTGAATATTAATGAAACACAGCAAATCCAAACATCATACATTAATATAACCAACTTACATTGTTTTACATCATGTATTTGCTCTCAAATTACACAAAAGAGACATTAGTAAGTAAATTCCAAACTACAGCAAAATAATCTAGAATCTGCGATCTATAAACTTGCTTACTGATTTCCTAAGAATACAAGTCGTCTGAAAAGTGTTAACATATAATATGTTGGTGAGTTCATAAGCATTGTTATATAAAAGTTTGTAATAGTTTAGAAACCCAGAAAAATCCAATATTTTCTGTTAAAATAGTTGTAGTCTTGTTTCCATATCAAGTATAGTTGCGTGTGTGCTTTAGTTTATCATCTTTCGAAATTGTATGAAATCATTTTCCCCAGAAAATCCCATATTTTCTTATATACAAAAGTGGTGGTCTTAGAACCCTAAGACTTGTGTAATAAAATTTCATTTGAGGTATCCAAACCATAGATGATTATAAACAAAAGGTGTGATCCGGGTAAATTTATAAATAATATTGTTATATTCTAAGTGAGTCGTTATAACCATACTAATATCACGGAGTGCCTATCTTAACGCTCTTTAGGCGTTGGTTTTGTTGAAGACATTTGTCACCCTAGACTGGTCTGTCTAGCTGTAGTGAACAGCGAAGGTGCGGGGTGTCAACCCCGTATAGATCTATACACAAATTCCCGCTCTCCCTCCAGGAGACTCTGGTTATAACTCTTATAGGACTTTAGATGTACATTATTATATAGCTACGGTGAAAGTGCGTCTCACTAGAATCCTAACAGATATTTAGGCTAATAGTTGAATTCCGTTATTTATTTAATAAATAACATTAGTTGTGCTCGTTGACTAGATATTTTGTTTTCGTTTCGTTTCTTGAGAATAATCCACTTTGAATCATATTTGTCAAAAATGACCCAATAGTATCGATGTGTCAAAAGTGGCCCTTCTTTTTATAAATTATCAAATAAGACCCACATTTGTCAAAAAGTGTCATGAGTGATCCAAAAATACTAGAATTGTTGAAAAATGACTCATTTCTTCTAAAATACTCATTTAGACTCGTATTTAAGAAAATGTCCAAAATGGTCCTTATTTATTTAAATAATTCCATTTTTGGTTCATTTTAAATCAAAATGTTCAATAATAACTCAAATTTATCCAATGTTTCAAAAATGACTTTATATATATATATATATATATATATATATATATATATATATATATATATATATATATATATTCTTGGCCGAAAATGGTCCAATATAATATAATTTTCATAATTTTACATCTTCAAAATTTTATGTCTAAAATAATTGTTTAAACAATTTCTTGAGTTAAACTTTGTGGTTCTTGACATATAATATGTGAACAAATTACTCATAAGAGTGCTAAGATTCTATTTTTGTAACTTGTTATGTGAGGTGAGTTCAAACTATTGAGACTTTAAACAAATCTCGAGTTTTTGGTGTAACACATAGCCTTATCTACCTTAAACACATATAACATACATGCATAACAAGCAAATATACCAATATTTCACAAGACCTTTGACTTGTATCCTCCCCTAAAATAATGGAAACTCAAAAATAGGGGTATGAAGCTCACCTTGTGTAGAGGAAAGGTGTGGTTGATGAGATGATATGAATATTTGGAGACTAGAACACTTGAAGTGTTGGATGTATTCCTTGGAGATTTTGTTAGCCTAAGGTTATTAACACATGAATTTTATGTGTGATCAGAAAGAATTTCAACAATTAAATGTACGAAACATTTAGCTAGGCATGAATTACTTACAAGAAACTAGATGGAATGGTGAAGAAAATGGTTTCTGAAGCTTGACTTGAGTTCTTGGAGAGTTCACGGAGTTCTCAGAAAGTGAAAGTGAGTTTGGTGAAATGACAAATGGGGTTTACGTTCTTCATAAGGAATAGAGAATTGATGGGATATTCACTTGGATTATTGATGGGTAATGTCTTATTACTAGAGGGTAATACATGTTTTACTGAGATTTGTATGGGGAAATGGCGAAAGACAACTGTAAACACCTTTGAGATCAAAAGGGTTCACGGCCTAAATGGGTTTTTCACAAGAGTTTATGGCGAAATGGTGATCCCTTATGGAGTTCACGACCAAGATTCCTCCCTTTAAAGGTGTTCACGGTCAACCCTTATTCCTTAAGGGTCTTCACGGTCCTTCCTTTGATGTTTAGGGTGGTTCACGGTCAAGACTAGGTGGCTTAGGGTGGTTCACGGCCAAAGTGGCCCACTAAGAGTTGTTTACGGCCAACTATGGCCCAAGGAAAAGGGTTTATGGCCTTAAGAGTTTCCTAGGGAAGTGTTCATGGCCTTAAAGTATACGAACTCTAATATATTAGCTTTATTGTTTTTGTGCTCAATATTTTGACGTAAATCCAAGATCATATTTGATTGCATTGATCAGAAAAGTTTAGGGTAGTATAATTCCCACAAATTACATTACCATATCATAATACTAGTATAGTTATAACTTTTACATGTACAGAACTCCTTTGACTTGGTCTTTGGACCTGAAAATTTCTAGTTGTGACAACATCCCCCCGTTAGAGGGAATTTCGTCCTAAAATTCTTTCAAAAGCTACTCTTAGGAACTAGCGAAAAGGTGAGGGTATTTTTGCATCATGTGAGCCTCGTGTTCCCATGTGAATTCAGGTCCGTGCTAGGCATTCCACCTTTCACAATGGGGATGTAGCTTTGTTTTGTGCGCTTAACTTCTCTATCCATAATCTCGATAGGCTGCTCAACGAATAGGAGGTTTTCGTTCACTTCAATCTAGTCTAGTGGAACTACGAGGGTTTCGTCTGAT